TTCGCGAAAATTTCGGTCCCAACCCTAATTTTCCGCGTTTCCGCGAAATTTCTGGATTTACGGTCCCAAAACGTTCGAATTTCCCCAAGTTGATCTAAAACCCAAAGATTTTCGTAACCCTAATTTCCAATACTGAAAGACAACGGAAAACCAAAAGAAAGCGAAATATAGGATTTACAACAAAATGCCGAAAACGGAATGCTAAACGCCGAATTTCAACATGATACTGATTCAACCCTAATTCGTGTAACATCAAAAATCCGAAACTTAATCAATTATCGGATTAGTATTACTCAATCGGAACTCAAATAGACAGCATACCGGAAGAAAACAGAAATCCGAATTATAAGTCCGAATACCGAATTGAACGGAAATGCCGAACTAAATAGAATACTGAAAAGAGAAAAATTTTTTTTTTTGCAACTTTGAACTTAATAGTAGTACAGCGCTGATTTGGAAGATTGAGAAGGCAATCTAATTCCTAACCAGACTTACCTTTGTGAGCAGATCCATTATATGGTCTGCTCCGATACCAAAACTGTTACATACTTCAATGATTATGGGCAGAACCAAAGATCAACCAATGTAGGATGAGCATATATGCAGCGGAAGTCTGATAAACGGACTGACTCACATAGACTGACTCACACAGACTGACTCCAGAATCACCCCACACACATACAATCGTGAGATGGTGGGGTCTGGGCCAAACATAGACGATGCCCAGACCTTGTACACGCATACACAGATGAGAGGTGGGAGGAGAGACGAAGGAGGTGGGGGAGGTAGACAGCACCGAAGGTCACCGAGATAGAATCTGATGGGTCACCGATATGGTAGTCCAAAATGTCATCCAACAAGATCAAAATGTCGATAACAATAGGTCACCAATGTCGGAGGTACAGAGTCCAAATGTAACCGGTGTCCAAACTGTGATGCAGTCGAGTATCAACCCCAACAATCTCCAAGTCTCCAATCCGGTAAGTATCACAGTCTCATATCACCGAAGTCCAACACTGATCTCTGTCCAACTAGTATAAGTCTCCAATCTGAAGAAGAAGAAGAAGAAGAAGAAGAAGAAGAAGAAGAAGAAGAAGAAGAAGAAGAAGAAGAAGAAGAAGGAGCCGAGGAGGAGAGAGAGAGAGAGGGGACTGGCGATGGGAGGGAGGAGAGAAGCCTCCAACTCCCAATACCTCAGGCGGCTATGGCCGCCCGTAACCCAGTCGCCGCTGCTGCTGCTCCGCTCGCTGCTGCTGCGCTAATCTGCGCTGCGCTCTTCCTCGCTGCTCCTGCGCTAATCTTAGCGCCAGCGCTGTGTCGCGCTGTACCATACCGTACCGGTAGAATGCCGGTAGGTCGATCCCTCAAAGTGAGGCCGGACTGGTTCTATATACCGGTGGGGCAGAGGCCGGCCTCAATGCTGCGAGGCCTGGCCGTGCCCTGAACCGTCCAGATGGACGGTTCAGCCCCAACCGGCGGGCGGGAGCCTCAAGAGTGCCGCCAGGCCCAAACGGTAATGTCGTTTGGGCCTGCCCGTCGGGTCTGGTCCAAGGTGAGGCCTTTATGGCCTGTAGTACCCCCAAGGTCGAGCCTTTAGGCCCTGATGTGTCCCTCTAGCCCTAAGTCGGGTCCGGTAAGTCGGGTCCGGTAGGACCCGTGTGGCGTCGAAGATGTAACAGGATGGCTGACCTGGCGGTACAAATAAGCATCTGAGGAACAAACATTGTCAAGAGTTAATCGCTGCGGAGCAAATACTGGTGATGTTTGGCGCAGGCTGAGGAGGTGATAAGAGCACTTCCTTAGTTTAAGTGCTGGCACTACGAGTATATGCTGTGGGCCGAGTAAGGGCGATGGTGAGTTTTCTTCAGGAGCACATCGAACGGCAGGTCAGCGACAGAAGCACGAGGAGAGGCTACATTTTCATAAATTTCATCATCATCATCATCATCATCATCATCTTCCACATGACAGCGGTGAGCATGGCTGCTGCGAAAGGATGACAGCAGCGGCAGGTCTTGTCATCAACATTATCAGCATCAGCATCAACATCATCAGCATCAACATCATCAGCATCAACATCATCATCATCATCATCATCATGGCATTTGGCGGTCGTGGGTAATGCTCGTCCTTTTTTCATCCATTTTCCTCTTCGTGCCCTTCCCTCTTCCTTCTTCCCCTTTTGACTCTTCTCTTCACTCGGCTGCCTCTTCGCTTTATTCTTCCCTCCCCCTCTCCTCCTTATTAGTCCTCTGCCCTCTTCTCCTCGTTTTATATTCTCTCCTTTGCTCCGCTTCGGGGTTGTTCCGCCGCCTCATCCAGCAAGGACGAGGAGTGTAGTGGGGCGACATGGGTAGAAGTGGAGGAGGGAATGGGGTAGGAGGGGCCGGGGTAGGAAGAAGGTGGGGATAAGGGAGGGAGAGAAGGGGAAAGGTAGTAGGTGTGGAGGTGGGAGATTGGGATTTAGGGGGGAAAGGGATGGGCCACTTAGTAATACAGGCTGTACTATTCTCCTAATTCTTACTTCTAATTAGTATCCTTTTTAGCTAATTAATCAACATCCAATCATCATACATATCATCATCCTAATATCCAATCTATTCTTTCAACTAAAATAATATCCTAATTTAATATCCAAATTAATTTCTAAATTTAATATTCCCGAATATTCCACAATCATTGTAACTCTCAACTCCTACAACTAAGCTGATTGGTATTTTTAATACCTAAAATTCCTAAATTCCTACATTTCGAATTTCTGAATCTCCAATCTGCATTTCAACCTTCCATAATACCTAAAATCTTTAATTAACTAATTAATAATTAATTAAGTCTTTTGATGTTCTCTTGGAATTCTCATAGCATTCAAATCTAATCTCACTTCTTATTTCATAAAAAAAATGGAGGTCTAAATGTCGTCCTAAATTTTGTTCTCCTCCAACGTGCTATGACGATTTACTTTCGGATGATGGAGGTTGGGTGTTGAGGGGGAGAGCTCTACTCCGCAGGGGCTTCACAAGGTGGGTGGTGAATGCTCTGAAGGGGGTGGGGGCAGAATATGGGGATTGCCCTATTCTGGGGCTGGGGTAGAAGTAYATTGTAGCATCATATCCCAGCGGGGGCAGATTAGGGTAGAGGTTGCCAGAGGCATACTTTAGGTGGGAATTGGATGCCTTTGTAGGAACAGGAGGGGGAGGGGGTCTGTCCCAAGCTGGGGCCAATGGAGAATCT